CTTCATTGCGTAACGGCAGGGTCCCAGAGCTGGGCTGGGCCGCTGAGGGCGCGTCGCCGTCCCCACGCGCCGCTGCGGACACATTTGGGTCAGTTCGGTGCACTCCATCGATTCTCTCGGCGAGGCACGGAGTCCGCCCAGGCCGCCGGTCTCGGAGTCCGCCCTGGTAGCCGGTTTGATGGTCAGATAATTGTGTGCCGATCATCTGTAGGATTTTGCAGGGCTGTCTCTCGCTGGAGGTTCGCTCGCTGAAGGTTATTACTAGTTGTCGGTCTCCGTCTGTGCTGGAGCAGGTTCTCAGCGTACAGTCTGCCGGGGCCGGATCGGCACCCCATCTGGGCGTCACCCCTTTGAAGGACAGAATCCGGTCGACCTCTGCTGACTGCCCAGCTCATCAGTCGGTGTGGAGCCGAGGTCGGCCTGGCCCGGCCTGCCGCTGGTATCGGGTGACCCGCAGAGCGACCCACCCAGGCTAGAGGCGGTGCAGTTATCTCCACAGTAGCGGCACATCAATTAAGCCGGGGAATGTAGGCACGGAGGGCTTAGCGCTTGGTCGATACCCACAGAGGAGGGTTCGGGAGACCTCATAATGTCCTTAGTAGAGCTGACTTCCTTTGGAGTCCCAGCTACGTCGGAAGTAAAATTCATATATCAATGGAGCTTTGATGCATTGTCTAATGTCTATTGCATGCTGTTCTGTGCAATATACCATTGTCCCATTACGCAAATCATAAATCCGTCGACGCTGGAGTCTGGTCACTCTCAGCGGGTGCATTGAATGCTGCGCACAAGACAGCTGACCCGTGACCAGCAGCCAGACATACTAGTGGCGGCGCCCAGTCGGCTCTCTGGGTCAGGAAAAGGTTACGACACCTGCGGGGGCGACCTTGGCCGCGGCGGGTCTGCTTTCAGTCTCGGTGTCGGTCGGGTCGCCGGGACGCGCTTCCCGCAAACCGGGGTCGGGCTGTGCTGATAGACAGCTTCTGCTCTCCGGCTATCCGGGAGAGTCACGACCCGACCCGACCCAGCCTGGGTAGAGTTCCTTTCCGACCGGCCTAAAGTCACCCTCGTGACCGATGGCCTCAAGTCGAGCCGTGCTCGTGACACGCGGCGGCCCGATGTCTCAATAGGGACAAACAACGTCGTGAGCCGGGCTTCGGAGGAGGGCTCTCCACGTCTCTCCCGCCTCGCAAAGAATCCCGTCACGACTGACCGGATTCACAACAATCGACCGGAATTTGCTCGTCAGTGGCACTGAAATCGCGGACCATCCTCTTAACCACACTCAACATCACTTTTGTACTACGATCAGGGTCACACCTGGAGACCTAGGTGGAGAGCAATGGTCAAATGTTCAGCCCCAATGTCACTCTCACTTGTTTGATATAGCTTGCTGTATGCAGTGAGCTACGTAGGCTGCCTGTGAGGCTGCCAAGAGCGCTGCGCTGTGCGCGTCATGACGCCCTGTCTCTTCACTGACCCCCTTTGAGACCTTTTCGAGCCCTTCGGCACCCGCTTCCGAGAGACGCCGTACGCACGTCATACCGAGCTATCTGGCGTAGGTCAGTTTTTGTCACCAGCCGGCGAACGAGACACTACTCGTATACTCGCAATACAACAGCCGCTGAGTAGTCAACATGCAATGATAACAGGGTGGTCTTCTTGGATTTCATACTCTTCAAGGTAAATGAGTAATCACCGGTGGTCTATGGTGACAACCAATGAATGAACTGGGAAGCTGGCCCTCAGCTTGTCTCCAACGTCAGACAGTAATGCTGTCTGTGAATAATAATGCCCTTTCCGCTTGGAAATCTTCCTACTACTCGAGTAGCATTCCTGCATAAGCAAGCGATTGCTGCTGACGCGTTGTTTGTCTTATTCGTATGCTGAGTTCATGTGCAACTGTGCATTTGTAATGCCTCTTCGTGGCTTGATCCAACATTCCTCATGAGGAAGTTTTGCAGCGTTCCTCTTTCTGAGCAGTGTCTTCTGGTAAAAAAAAAACGCACAATGCAAATAATTCATAGCGATTTCATTTAGTTCAAAAGCTAGCGTGCACCATTTACGAGCCGATAAGACGTTCTTTTCAGGCCAGCCGTGGACCATTCCACCAGCAAAGAATCGAACCGAGAATCATGACCTGAAGCTGAAATTTCCCAGCATGAATATCCTCTAGAGACCCCGGGTGCACTATAGTATACATGGCTTCAGCGCCGTCTATATCGCTCCGATGTACTCCGAGATCGCAATAGCTATGGTCATACCTCAGACTGATCCAATGCCTGCCATCTGGTGCCAAAAACAAACCTTTGGTTGCAAAATTTGCCGCCAGGGGCCTTTTCGATTTCGCTACGTCGGGGCGACGGACGCGTTCAGGTGAGGCTCCGACATGTTTTCTTTTTTTCTTATTATCATGCCATGTTATCATCATTTTTGACATGTTGCTAGTTATGAGAAAGGTGCTGTGCAAATATGTGAATAGTTATTTTTGCTTTAGCGTTCGTAATTTTGACGAAATGTGTTATCGTACTTGATTGTATACTATAGTATACATCCGGACTTCAGACTATCATTTCATGCCACCCGATGATGCAAGTGCCCTATATCTTATATTCCACTCTCTTGAAAAAAAAACTTTATTGTATCGTGACTGTAAGACACATATTAAGATAATTGTCATACCTAAACCACAAAATTAAATCCTACTTATTGAATGTGTATACTATGGTATCCATCAGGATTCACTCGTTTCTTGATTTGTGTACTATAGTATACACTTAGGCTTACATTACAACAGGACATGTGCACTCAAGTATACCTTCAGGACGTGAAGCGTAAACATACCTGTGGTTCCCACGGACACATTTCAATAATTATTGCGCTAAAACATGGCACAACGTTAGGGACCGGTTAGTATGGTGTTGCCCACAAGTCAGTCGGGGTACCATTTCACACTCAGGCACGTAAACGACTCACCTTTGCGCTCTCTCGTTCATCGCCCTAACGGCGTTTTACTGGTATTTGATGGTAAAATACTGTTATTGAATGGAGAATAAATGGTCAAACTACCAAAAGGGATCGTGGCGTCACAGTCTGCATGCCATCACTGAAAAGTTAGGTCGGATTATAGAGCGAAGTTTGATAAACTGTGCTGTTTTATAGGTGGCCTGTCGTCTGCCAGTATCAAGGCCATGCTCGAAGCACCTGATTCCGGATCCGACCTAGATGTCTCTGATTCAGGAGACGCCCAGTAAACATGCCGACGTCGGCCCGACCTCGGGACGAGGCTCGGCCCGACGTCGACCCAACGTCGGTTCAACCTCGGCCCGACATCGGCTGGACGTCGGACATGCCCGCATGTTCCGACGTCCAGCCGAAGTCCAGCCGACGTCGAGCCGACGTCGGGCCGAGGTCGTTTGCCGAGGTTGACGAGATCGTTTGTCGTTGGACCGACGGGGCCGACGTCGGCATGTTTATTGGGACAACGCGCCAAAAATATCAACCGGCGGCGGGATTCGAGCCCCCCAGTCGCCGACGTCGGCATGTTTACTGGGACAACACGCCAAAAGCATCAGCCGGCGATGGGATTGTATGTATGTATGTATGTATGTATTTACGATCATGGGCGATCCACACATGGCGTGGCGATTGATTCGAACCCCGTGTTATTTGAACGCGAGGTTAGTGCGCTAACCACTAAACCACGCAGCCAGAGGGTTAGAGGGCCTTGGCCAGAGATCGAATTTAGTTTGTTTTGTTGGGTTATGCCCTTTCGGTCTGACAAGACCATTTCAGAGCCGGAAGGATGATAGGATGGAGACATTGGTCTTCTTGGCGAGCACCCTGGGTCCAGTTCATACAGAGTCCCTGGTCCCATTGCTGTTACGTGACACTTATTGGAAAAGGCGACCCCACAATGGATTCATATAGCCACTCAAACACACCTGCACCAACGTTTCCCAAAGTGTCCCTTTGATAAGTGGCACTTTGGCAAAGTGACACTTGCCGACTGGCCTTTCTATATGAACTGGGCCCGGCCCTGGTGAGTTGCCGGTGCTGAGCCTGACCAAAGGATAGGCCGGGCAGCCCCCAAGCACTCACCGCACCCGGCTACGGGCGAGCTAGGCTTACGGGCAATCCCAAATGGGTTAAAATTTCCCGTCCAGTCCGGATCAGGGGGTTGCGGCGTGGAGGAAGATTTGAGTTTCCTGAGGATATTTTGAATACAGAAGCTCTTTATGAAAAATGAAACATGCATTTTATATTATTTCAACGGTCAAAACAGCGGCCGATATCGGTCCGACGTCGGCCCGACGTCGGCTGGACCTCAGCAATTGATCTCGGTCCGACGTCGGCCCGACGTCGGCTGGACCTCGGCTGGACGTCGGTACATGCGGGCATATCCGACATCCAGCCGACGTCGTGCCGAGGTTGGACCGACGTCGCGTCGACGTCGGCATGCCGATGCTGAGATGCCGACGTCACCCCCACGTCGGCCGACGTCGGCATGTTTACTGGGCGAGTACATCCCTCGAGTCGATCCTGCTCCTGGGTCCGACAGTGAGAGTGACCTCGAGTTAGGTAATCAAGATGTCACCCCCAATGCTCCTGAGTATGTTTACAACAACAAGTATGATTTTTTTCCATGCAGATATCACCTCAAAAGGTTTAGAACACATCAGCCCATTCATCACATTGCTAGACATTGTCCATGCGACCCTTAAAAAGCATATTTATCACTTTTAATATTAACAACCAAGTGCAAAAAAATAAGTTCTGAAACCGAATGTATACTATAGTATACAGGTCACTGCGCATGCGCATTGGGGCATAAGGCCAAAACGACTGGAAATTTATCAATCGCACCACTTAAGCAGACTATATTCCAAATTTCGTCTTTTTTTATCTGTAAACTTGCTCTCGGGTCTCTAGAGGATATAGTGATTCCTGACCCTTATATCTCTCCAGGCCCCAGCTGACCGTTTCTTTTCCTCTCGCAGGCGGAGCCGCAGTCGGCAGCGTCGTTCTTCCCTCCGCGCAAGATCGTCAAGGGCAACAGCCTGTACGAGCGGCTGGTGGCGGCCGGCAAGAAGTCTCCCATCATCATGGCCGGAGTGAACGACGACGTCCTCTTCAAGCCTCCGACGTCGTCGCTGTCGGCGGTGCGCGCGCCGACGGCCCGCTCGGAGCCGGCGGCGGCAGCGCGGCCCCAGTCGCCGCGCGTCGTGAGCGCAGTGGACCTGAGCAGGGGTCAGCTGCCGGCTGTCGACCCGGACCGGCTGCGCGTCGACACCGGCGTCATCGCCGTCCAGGTGGGTGACGGAGGGGGTGACGTGGGTGACGACGAGGGGCGACACCGGCGTCATCGCCGTTCAGGTAAGGGCTGACGGGCGAGGATCTGTGGTGGGGGACAGTGACATAGATGTAAGGGACGCGGGTGACGGCGAGGGAGGGGGCGACGGAGGCCGTGGCAGGTAGAGGTGTAAAACAGTCACAGAAACCAAGGTGGGTGACGCGGGGTAAGGACTGTGAGTAACGTAGAAGGGGCGGGGGTGCCGCCGTAGATGAACGGTCCGCGATTGATCCTGGGGATTATGGAGCAGACTGTAGAGGCTCTATAAGACTTCAATAAAAATAGCCGAGAAGCCCGCAAGGAGTATTTGACATCGTTCGAAAGACTTTCTAATTTCGAGCATATAGCAAACAAAATAAGTAGTTGTTCGTAGAAAAGAGCAAGCTTGTAAGCTAACCACTTCTAGAAAGGTTAATTCATTAGGAGTTCTGCCCTGGGTTGAGTTTTCACGTAATATCATTAAGACGACTGGTATTTGCAATGGTTCAGCGGATATAACGTTCTAGAATCCGTTGCCAATCCGATCCGAGACTCATATGATTACGATAATAAGATCGGTAAGCTGTGAAACGTCGATAGCTTCCAGATAAGCGCGTTGCATTTTAATTCCAGCTTTCAATCTGGCTCGTAACGGAGCAACGCCCTCACTCCACAAAAAAGTGATTCTATATCGGTTGACCAAGGGCACAGGATTTAGACGGGTGCGCGGGACTTTTTAAGGCGCGCGGTTCGGAGGATGATACCCTCTGACGTAGAGATTGGAGGTTTACTCAGCGCGTGCCTGCCGCGCTTGGTCTGAAAACCGGCTGGCGGGGTGGGGATTTGATGGAGGGAGGGGGAGGGTTTGTTTGACGTCGCAGAAGCGCAGTTATTTAGCGGCGAAGGGAAAGCAGTCGTGCCGTCGACTCGAGCAGCACGTCTTAAACCGTGGTCAAGGCCTGCGATCGCATGGCGATTTAGAGGTCAGCTGATGACAGAAAGGTGTGCTCAGCCGATTTCAAAGCCTTATCAATTGAATAGAAAATATCGCAATGATAGTCTCTCATGAAATCTGCTTACTAGATTACTTTATAAAAAATTTGAAAGTTAACAGCAAAATGGGTCAAATAATCAGAAATCTGATTATAAAAAGACCGAGCTGTGCGGTTCTATGGGCGATGACGCCGATCCCACACGATCTCTAAAGATAAGAAGCTATTGCAGTTTCGTAAAAATTATCTTAGCAGGAAAGAAAAAGAAGCTTCCAACCAGACGACCCGTCGCAAATCTTATCGTCGGCTCCCAAAAATAGCCGGTTCGCTGGAAAAGAGCTTACCGTAATAGAATTTCGTCTCATAGTTCTCCATATGCCAGACTATATCAGACCGTTCGGTAGTCCGTCTCAGAGGTGACCTGAGGGCGGGGCGGGGCACGGTGTCCCCGGTCGGCTGGTCGGCCCTGCAGCCAGCAGACCAGGCCGGTCCACTGACACGACCTTGGCGGCTCGGCCGGCCGGGCCTGGGACGGCCTGGGACGGCGGTACGGGTCGGTACCGGGCAGGGTCGGGGGCCGCTGGGGTGTGTGCTAGCTACAGCTGCACTGGCGACCACCGGACCAGAGCGACAGCCGAGTCGGAGAAGCCCTGCTGCAGTGATAACTGGGAATCCCCAAGCTGAATAGGTATGACAGCTTTGATTTATATTCAGTCTTGATGTCGCATGCTCATCAACAACAGCCAACAGTTAATATATTTCCTATTCCATATAAGTATCGTGTAACCTGAAGTCTTTTATCATAAATGTTTTATGTTGCTGCACTGCTGAACCCGCCCACACGTTAGCAGCAGCCTCTGATCCTGGGGCACTGTAACGGTGAACCGCTCCACACAGCGGCCAGCTCAGACCCGGGGAATGCCGGTCCGCCCACCTGCATCCTGGTCCGGGTCTGGGTAAAGGGTAATCTGTAATGGGTAGCTGTCATACGTGTGTAGAGGCTATATCGCAGTGAATAATTTACATGTCATGCCGTGAGGTAGCAGATACATCAGCATCCGTCTGCCTTCTTGTTATAGATCATTGTGGTCAAGTATGTGGATTGTGTGACATGAATCGATAAACGAAGCTAATTGTAGTTATATCGGAGAGATAATTATCTTTGCTGACGAGCGGTCGGCGTTGAAGGCTAGCGACTAGCTGTTCCCTGACCTCCCCTCAAGAAGTGCTGCCTGACGGTTCTGGTCACCATCTATTCCCTAAATTGTCCCTCCTCCGCGCCCGGTTTTCAATAGGAAAATCTGTCCAGGAAGCACCTTGCCCTGAAGGACTTTGGCCTTCAGCCGATCACCTGCAACTCCTTCAGGTGCCTTCACTTCACCTGGAGACTGACAGCACCACGCCACTGCCGCTCTACACCTGGGAAAGCCCACAACGGTGGCAGACCCGTTCAAACCAAACCGTTAGCCCCGCGACAGGACAGACACACTGGCTAGAAACTAGAGACGAGATCCGTCAGTCCACACCCACCGTGACCCGGCGCAGGGCGGAACACAGAGCCGGGGAGGATCGCCGTGACTGCTAATAAATGAACACGCCAAGAGCGGGTTTGGAGGTGGGTGGGTACACCAGAACAGAGCGATCGCCTCACCCTAGAGCATGCCCTCGCCCGGCCAGGATTTATCGTGAGGTCGTGCAATTTGTTACACGGTTACAACGTATCATTTGTGAGCTGGAAATGATTCATGTCGCGATTTATTGAGCGGAGAGTCCTCCCAGATAATGTTGTTCTGATAGAGTGAATTAATTGACCTTTCAACTATGATCAGTTTGTTCTCATGTAGCAGATGAAATTGTTACGATGCCGAAAGTGCAACCTTTAACTAAAGACGGTCTCTAAAATATATATGGATCTATTCCTGATCTTCAACGGATCACGCCTTGAAACCATCAAACAGCTTAAAACTAAGTCCGAACAAAGCTATTCCTGGAGCGCGTACAACACCGTCCTTATGTTAGCGTGATTCGTGAGGTCATCCTTGAGGACATCATTCCGGGTTACCTTGGTTTTATATCCTGATTAACCAGAAACCTGAATAATTGACATCAAATATCCGTCCTTTAGTATCCAGGCATCAAGTTCACCTTGTCCCGAAATTCACAGCATGACACACATACTCGTACTACGACACATTTTACAAGCCTACATGGTCGTGACAATCGACCCACAAAGGGTTCAGCTGGTTACTCGACATCGGGCCGTCACCAGTTTTCCTGAGCTCTGCAAATTTGACTTCCTGATTGTAAAATATACGGAAATCTGCAAATGAGAAAGGGGTATCCACCGGCTTGTCCACTGACAGAGGAACAGCCGTTACTTCATCTGAAATTAGGAAACCTGTGGTGATACTGCGTCACTGACCGGTCGCCGTCTGCACCAGCGCACCGCACCGGGCTGGTTCTCCGACCGAACCACCGGTTAGGGAGGCGGTGAACCGGTGCCTCGGGTTCACCTGTCACCCAGCTGACTTCCGACAGGCCGCGACGAACGCTGACAGGATGGAAGGAAACGGACAGTAACAGGTCGTGCCGATGGAAGACTGCCAATTCCATTCACTGCTGTGATGAGATAAATCCGTTGTCCAAGAGATTTGACTGAAGTTCATTGGGTCGAAACAGCCGGCAACAGCTGTGACGTTGGGTTGCAAGGTGAATGACCTGCGTTGGCTGTGATAAATTATCAAGCCAATAACCAAGCAAATGAAGACAAAAATAACCAGAATCACTTCAAAGCTGTGATATACCTGCGCCAATCATGATGCATGCCGCAACAACGTACATTCCATGTTTTCAATGCATATCGCACGCTTGAACACGGATTTATCTAAGCCTACATCCATGACCGACTCCCGCTGTTGCGTACGCCTCATAGATCAGTTCGTTACTTCAGCTCTAATACGGCAGGCACGAAATCTTTTGTGGCAGTGCCAGCCGGCTTCTGTTCTCGAGCACAGACGGTTTGCAACGCCTGCAATCGCTCAGGCTTGTCTGACATAGCCTGCATGCATGCACAATTGCACACAGATATTTAGCAATTGTAACCCATTAATCTCCCAAGGTATGTAGGAACGCAAATGGAACGGCCAAATACCGAAACGATTTTAAGCTTCTATACACCACAAGCGTCGTAAAGCTCGTTACCGAACGACTTCTGTTTGCCTTCACATCACAATTATCATTCACGCACTGTTTATTCGGTTAACTTCATATAGCAAAAGCCCATCAAGTTCATTCACACATTTTCGTTGACGACCTCACAATGACGTGCTATCATGGGCCGACAATAAAATTCCATAATTTCACATGGCGCAGACCCTGACTGTATGAGCTGACGGAATGACCGTCTAGTAATTGGTTGTGTCGATTCCCACGCCATTTCCCTGCCTCGCTGAGGTGCCCGATGGTACTTCAGTCAGTGCCTGGTTCATCAGCCGCCGACCGTGACGCATGCCGTGAGACAGTCGCCGAAAATCGCCACAGACACTGATATAACACCGTGAGAGAATACCGTGAGACAAAGCGCGACAAAATCACACGGGATGGCCGTACCGTGAAATTGATACAACTGTGATAATTGAACCGTACAACAAGAATGGCATCAGTAGAAAAATGAAACCTTACCTTCGTCTCTACCAGGTGCTGACATTTCCTCTTGTTTCTCATCTCCTCCCTCATTCATTCTCTGCCTAGCATTCTCTCCTAGGTGCTGAATTGTCCATCATGTCCCCCAGGGCATCAACATTTCCCGATCTTCCCCGCATCGTTGACATTCTTACCAACGTCTCCGCAGGGCATTGGCTTTTGTCTCGTCTCCCCAAGCCACTAACCCTTCCCGTCACCTTCGGCAGAGTGGTGACGTGTCTTACGCAGCGTTAACATCTCCCCCTCGTCTCTTCCGCAGGGCGTTGACGTGTTCTACGCGGCGGCGCTGCCGGAGCAGTCCTCCGTGGACGACATCACCTTCCTGCTGCTGCACGGTGCCAAGTACAGCTCGCAGACCTGGCAGGACATCAAAACGCTGCGCACGCTGGCCGCGCTCGGATACAACGCCGTCGCCATCGACCTGCCCGGTGCGTATGAACGTAGAAGGGCCGAACGATGCCGGCATTGGAAGATTTTGTCGTGATTTTGTGCACAGATTTTCAGATAAAGTTAAAAGGTGAATGATAAATAGGGCAAGAGCAAAGTCCAAAGGTTCCAAGGTGCATTTAAAGACAAGCTTGATATAAAAACCGTCATAAAATGATATTAATTATTCGCTCTCAGGAACTAAGGCAGGGGCTCGAAGAAATTCAGTTTATCCCCAAACGTGATTTGAAAGGCTCTATTCGCCACTTAAATCACCATGAAGTTCCCTAGAGGGAACCACAGACGGCCAGGCAGCGGACCGTTCCATTCCTACTCAGCATATTTTGCCAACGGCCTCGCGCTGTTTCATACGACGGCATCCGTTCCAATTTGACAGTCAGTGGCTCCCATCGCCCGTCCCGGGTCAAGGCGGTCCTGGGTCGGAGTGATGAGCAGTGAGCCGTCACAGCGACGGACTTACGTCACGTCACGAAACGTCATCCTAATTGAGCGACTGATATCTAACCTTAGGCTGTGTCACGATGTCAGTCCAACGTCACAGAAAACTGTGACGCGTGTGATAAGGATACCACCGTCACTGGTGGCTTTGCACGACGATGTGATCGTGCGTGACCGCCCGTGGAGGCACCCTGACGTTTTTCGCACCTGGCGCAATGAAAAAGAGCGCTCTCGTGACTGCCCCCACGCCCGTCCGAGGCGCTACGTTCAGGGTCGCTGGTCCCGGTGGAGCCGCGCTGATGGGCTATGGGATGGGACTGCGTGAGGAAGGCGTGGGGTGGTGACCCTGAGCGTGCAAAAGGGTTAGCAGCTAAGCTAGATGAGGTGTGATGTAGCACTTCTAAATACAAAGAAGGGGTTCAGCGCGCCTGCAATATATTAATCTTGACGGTGTTCATTTGTAACCACGTCGCTTAATGTTATACCTTTTAATAAGTTTAAAAGGTCTTTGTGTGACTTTGATTGAGCTGCAAATTGATCTTTGTATCCAAGTGTGCTTTTACTTTGAAAGTAAAAGCACACTTGGTAATCCTCTTAGTTCATCGACCAGCACCACTCTCTTCCGACCCGTTTCTGACCCTCCCCGCTCCCGCAGGCTTCTCCAACTCCCGCAGCACGGGCCGCCTGCCGGGCTCGCTGTCCAAGGCCGAGTTCCTCGAGTCGGTGCGTTACGAGCTCGGTCTGGGTGACCAGGTGGTGATCGTGTCGCCCTCGGCGTCCGGAGAGTACTCGGTGCCGCTGCTGATGCAGCAGCCCGCCTGGCTGGTCGGCTACGTGCCCGTGGCGCCCGTCGGCACGGAGAAGATTACACCCATCAAGGCGCGCACCATCCGAGTACGTAGTGGGGTGACGAATGAATCCGGCCGGGAGGTTGTATGGATCTGGGGGGTTGTGAACTTGTTATAAGGGGAGAAGAGGAGGGTTGGCGGAGGAGAAGGGTGGATGAAACGGTCTATATCGAGTTTGGTTGGTTTTGTTAAAGGTGAAGAGCTGCACAAGCTAGATGTATCAGATAAAGAGGGTGGTGCCCATCCAAACTGGATTGTAGAAAAGGGGGTGAGATCTGGTCAAACCCGTTCTGGCTGTATGTTTCCAGTTTTTATTTGTGGGATCACCACGCACGAACAGCGCAGGACCTTTTGCAAGATTGCTTCTTAGTTTGCTCATCTGGGATTACATCGATTCATTTGTGAAACTCGTTGGAGAAAACAAACTTTTCATCCCAATTATCCTTGTCCTCATAGTAAAACTCAGCCACTACTGTGGTTTCACAAAGAAACAAAGCTCTTTTCACGACGAGCGTTAGCATTTAGTGCTGTTGTTAAACATAGAACAGCCCATAGAGAAAGTGCGCCCTGGAATTGTTTACCATGAACCGTGTCGAAATGAGAGATGACTCGCTTCAAGTTGCTCCATTTCGAGTTTACAATACGGAGACTGGCAACTGCATGACTCATGCGGACGGACGGACCCTATGTCGTAACTGTGCAGTACTGTCCCGCGGCTTTCGGCTTCGTAACTGGTCACCTTATCAGCATCTGAATAGGCCCTGCGAATGCACGCTCATCTGCACAGCTATATGAGGCCGTTCACAGGCCGTCCCGTGTGAATGATATTCAGCTAATGAGCGCGGGTGCTAGCACCAAGGCTGGACTCTCTCTATTAATTCCTTTATAATTAACGTAACGAAAGAGAAACTTTCAATAGTTACCTCTGAAACGAAACTAGGATGCTTAAGAGTTAATTCTTATTTGTTGTAGCTATTTTCAACCAAGCTTAAGAATCAAGGCAAGTAAATCACCTCGCGAGGCAATTAATCACCGATGGGTTTACCAACTGTCAAGTGCAGGTAAAATAAATAGTGGCCAAACAGCCCCTTAATAATCTATGATGAACTCATGCTAGGCGCCAGAATGAGAGAAGCTTAGAGTTACAGTCACTTTTGTCGGTGAAGGACAACGAAAGAGATAGGAACGAAGGTCAAAAGGTGTGTGTATAACGTCGGTGGCTCAGCCTTTATTGTCCGAGCTAATATTGCGGGTTGCGCACCGCTGATGCCTACAATCCGCTCATTCAGCTTCAGTTAAAAAGCAAACAGATTCAAGATTTGTTAGCTGAAAAGGTTTCAGCATATCTGCCATTGGCAAGCGTAGCAACTGAAACATTGTGCGCACAAGCTTTTGCACAATCGACGTAGTTTAGACGAGATGCGCCTGGTCACAGCGCTGTCATTTCATTGTCATTGAAAAATAAAACTCCATGCATTCAGAGGGCACTGACTGCCGAGGTAGCGGTGCTAGCTTTTGGCGTTACGCTGTTTTGTTCGTAACCGGTACCCACGGGTTGTACTCGTACTCCGTCATTTGGTAAGGTAGATCCAAGGTAGATCACCAATTAAATAAGCCATACACATCTTGTATATGTATCTTGGATATGTTTTCATATGAACAGGTTTATGGGTCAAATAAGCTTTTTGAAAATGTACATAGATAAGCGCGAACAATCGCGATGTCGCCATGGAATGGAAAACACTTTAATATAGGCCAGGGTTTTCACATTTCCATCAACATTTTAGTTGGGAACATCTGCAGCAGTAACCGGCATCACGTCAAATAAGACAATCATGCTGGAACTCAAAAGTACAGACATTTCCAGCACGCCTCAGAGGCAGAAAAGGCCGTCCAATCCCCTGGCATTATCTTGTCCTTCATAATATTTTCCCACAAGAATCCTTTCACCCTTGGCGCATTGTCTGACGGGTTTTTGTCGGCTCCAGTCAGCCTTGATCCTATCTGATTTGTATTTTATTGTTCTCGCAGACTGTAGAAGACGTGACTTTACCATCTTAATTACGTTCCAAAGGGGAATGGTTCTTATAATTAATTGCTCAATTCGCTATAATAAAAACATACATCTAGTATCAATTCCCTATCGCTATGCATGCGATTCTAATGGTGCTGACAAATGTGTCATTTTTGTTTGTTTGTCTAGGCGCAACATACAGGACCATTACAGGTGTAGGTATATGCTCGCAGGTCGGCGTTAATCCACACAGCTCTCTTCATGGTCAAGTCAAAGGGTTATTCGTGCTCATCGCTTCACTAAAATTATCTGACAAAGTAGTTCGCAACAGATGGGCCATGCGCTACACCCCGGCCGCCATGGCCAAGGTCCCTAATCTCGCGAATCTTCCAAACGCTTCGGCTAGTAGCCGTACAAAGTGCCATTGTGTTCCACTTAGCGCATTGGCTGGCCATGAGCTGTAAGCTACTTTACTGTTTGGCTGTGGTGGATGACACCGTAAGTGTCTATGGAATGAGGTGCCAGAATCCCACACTGGTTCCCTCTGACTCAGCGACGGTGAATGACCTTCAGGCGATATCCCGTCACCAGTCTTAAGCCTTTCATATGTCTTTTACAATATCGCTCCAGGTGTGATGATGTGAAGGGCTTATGTGGATTTATATTTTTGCTTTTATACGAGTCAACAATGCATATTTCATATATAAACATACATATCATGATTCGGTGCCTTTACCTATTACATTGCGAGTAAAGTGTTCCTAAAGCGTAAGTATTTCTGACAAAATAATCAAATCATCTGGGCATCCAAAAATATCCTTTCCCTGGTCAACAAATAAATTGCAACCATGTTTCGTGTTACATGTATTACGTTATAGAGGAAAAGCGAACTAGCACAAAATATTAATGAAATATCGTAAAAATTGTCATTACTACTCGCATGCGTCGAAAAAGTCTAACAACAATCCCAGAAATTTGTACTGTATCAGTTTATTGTTCACTTTTGCTCTTGCAACCAGCAAGCAACGCAAACTTTTGAGCCCTTCACCGCCTCGAGCTCTGAAACATGGTGCCGTGTTGTAACTGGTTCCGTCTCCCATCCCCAGGTGCCGACGGCCATCATCTACGGCTCGCGGGACCGCGGCCTGGGCGAGTCCTCCCTGAAGGCGCTCAGTCAGATCAAGACGGCCACCGTGGGCGTCATCCCGAACGGCAGCCACGCCGCCTACCTGGACAACCCGGGCCTGTGGCACCTGATGCTGCACAACTTCGTCCAGAGCCTGGAGCAGCTGCGGAGGCAGAACTGAGCGCGCGAGTGACTGAGGGGTGTCAGAGAGAGCGACAGCCGGGCTGTGTCCGGGCGCGGACTGACGCCGCGAACCGGTGCCTGAGGACTGAGTGAGGGAGTGACTGAGTGGCCGCGCGATCCGGCCGCTGACCGGCAGTGTTCTCAGACGAGCCGCCGCCCCGGGGCCGAGCCCGGGCGGGTGTCAGGCGGGTGAATGTGGCGCGTGCAGAGGGAGAGAGAGAGAGAGCCAGCCCCACGGCGCGCCGTTCCGACAGTACACACGTATTACGCTGTCTGATCAGCACGTCTTCCGCCGGCCGGCCGCGCTCGCGACCCGCCGGCGAGCTCAGAACAGCGTCGCGTTGCCGTGTCGCGACGTCCTGTGATACTGTTCAGCGCTTGAAGTCTTTATATCCGGCGTAGCGCCGCCGCTCGTACAAACGCAGCGCCGCCGTGTACCGCGAGACAAATTCCAAATTGAGCGGAGCTCCGTTTGCCGCGGGCCCCTGGCCGGCGCAGTAGGAGTGTGTGAATAGTCGCGGCGCGGCACAATGTAGCAGAGTATCCGCGCGGACCCGGTGCCGGGCACTGAACGGCCCACCGCCGCGGGTCTGATGGAGTGACCCAGCCGAGAACGTCGTGTCCGACGTGACCCACGCCGACGCCGCTGTCGACGACACTGTTGATGTGACGGCGGCCCACAGAGCTCGGCTCTAAAGGGTCGATGACAATCATCTTCTCAAATACATTCTCACAACAAGGAGGCGCCTTTGGCTGTGAAGGGTGAACGGGAGAGGATGGTGAAAAGTCGTCCAAAGTAGGTCACGAACGATAAGGGGCTTTACTAATCCAGACTACCACAGCGTGACAATCACATCTGGTTCGTACTGTGTGCTGCTAAGGTGCAGCGAGGGCATGACGTAACAGCTATCTCAGATGGCACTTTGATCACACTGCATCCAGATGAAGTCTCCTTTAATCGCGCCAGTCATGGAGTGCAATACTAGGTACGCTGAAGTTAGGTATGGGTATTAAGATGGCACACAATCCTGCAGCACCTATCACCGCAATTAAAAATATAAAACAAGAAAAGCGAGTAAATGACAATTGGCTTTGTAAGCACAAGCATATATAAAAAGATCTATTCAAGTAACTCGAGGAATCGGGGAACCAAAAGACAGACATGGCACAGCCAACCAATGCAGTACTACTTTTGGTGTCATGAATGTTCATTAGCCAACCTAATGCAATTAATATCTAAAGAACAGAGCGTCAAGTTCAGTGAGGAGGTATGGTATACTGTGAAAACTGCTTTTGTTGAGCATGGTTGAGCCCACGAGAAGCGACCTCTACGCCTCGATTCATGCCTGTCACCAGCCGGGACAGTATAGTCCAGATGAACCGAAATACGGTTACGGTACCCCTACATGTTCAACAGAATACCTACATATGCGATTGTGATTGTGCACTGCTTACTAGCTATACACTTCTCAGTTCAGTACCGATCTAACTGAATGCTGAGAATCTAACTAAAAATGTTCTGAAAACTAGCAAATGCCGTCCTATTTCAACAGCAAATAAGAAGAAAAACTAATATTCTATGCCTCCAGCAGGTACAGTCCACAGTAGAAGTAATGTGGGGTTTCAGTCATGGGTATGTTCTGCTTCTGAAGCTTAGGAACGATTAACCAGACTTAAATGAAACTTTGAATGTAGCTTATATGTATCGTCACCCTTGCAGCTGCAACTTTAGCTATTGACATCTTCTTTTCGATCACTCCGCATTAAACAATCGCCAGTCAAAGCCAACCGTTGAGATTGGTAAAACCCTACATTACTTTAGCGGTGGACTGTACCTGTACCTGGTGCTGGAAGAGGTCCTTTTCTTTCTATGACTCCTCTAAAATAGTCTAAAAAAAAACAACAAAAAATCCCTAAAAATCTAAAATAGTTTGAATAGGGCGAAAAGTATTAAAGGTCCTAGCCGAACATAAACAAGCAAGCTAAACATGGGCTGATTCGATCACCGAATTTTACCGGTGCCCCGGTAAAACAAATTAACTAGCCACTCTAACCGTCACTCTGCAGTGTCCCGCTGGTTGTCTAGGTCGGATGAGCGTCAGCCTGGAGAGTGGAGCAGGAAGGTAGGTATGATCAAGGATTAACTTACAATGGTCTGAAGATATATAAAGGACGAATGGAGGGCAGGGCATATTTTAACAATTTTTTACTGCGTCCCGAAGTTGAGCAGAGGGCACGTGCTACGACTAAGGGCACAGGGCAAGGAACAGAGTAGGGTAAGGGCACTGAGGAAGGCAGAAAGTAGGGCACGGCAGGTTGCAGGGCATGGCACAGGGCATTTTAGGGGGAAGGCCGGGTACAGGTCAGGGCAGACAGCAGGGCACAGGTTAGGGAACCGGACAGGGCAGGGACGCAGTGGGTCAAATCAGCAAGGGGCTACGTCCCAAGGCGAGGGAGCTGCGCCCCAAAATGGGACGCAGTAAGTGCCTTAGAATATGCCCTGATGGAGGAGAGAGAAGAGTAGGCAGTAAATTGTGTTTGCCGTTTAAAAGTTAAAGCTGGATTGCCAACATGTGAACTGCAACCCTCGCCCCCGGAACATCGGTTGTGAAAAGGCAGATGTCAGCGATGGGTTCAATGTTTTTCCTTACTTATATAAACATTATATTCAGTATAAAATGTTTACTTCGCTTATAAAAGGTAGCGTTTTAACACTCGAAGACGTTCCGGTAGGAGTGCTGCTATCTGTGACCGTTTAATATTGGTCGGTAAGCTAAGCTACGTGCGGCGGTCACCAGGTGGCGCGCAGGCCACCGAGTTGTCCAATCTCTCAGAGGAGTCTCTTACCTGATGCCTCTTTTCAGGCATCAGTTAGGCTATAGTTACCACTAACCAATCATCAAGACAAGCACAGTCGTCCTTTTCAGGACAAGGGTATTCATGTCCTCAAAGCGCACTCACTTATTCCGGGCTGAAGTTCAGCCTTCTCGGGCAACCACGAAACAGTTTCAATGAGAGAATGTCCTGATCGGCGGTGACCGCTTGGAGCCGATGGACCGCCTCCCCTCAGTGGCAAAAAAAAAAAAAACGCCTGCGTCCAAATCCACTACAGTGCACCAGTCAGTGACCAAATCAAACTAATGACACCCCCCCCCCCCCCACACACACACACACACAAACTTTAGCTTCAGGCTGTAATGGTGTAAATAAGCCCAGAGGATTCACCGTTCAACTCCGTTACCACTAGAATTAGAAGCATGTGGAGAATCGCAAATAAGAGAGACGAGGAATAACAGAAGATAGGAGACAGAGCTGGGGGGATCCGTGCTATCGTAAGTTATATCGGACGTGGCTGCGAAACTTCTCTCGGTACGAAACTTCTCTTGATCGGAAGAAAATCGGAGGGATGAAAAAGAAAGAGCCGCAAATCGGAGCTACGTTGTACGTAAGTTGTTTAGCAGCATTTAACCCTATTAGTGGCAGGCTCCTGGCTACCCCATATTAGTGGCAGGGGGGGGGCTGTTTACGACCCCCCTTGATATCTCGAGATCTAACGGGCCGATTTTCAAAATTCAAACGGCATTCGATTTGGCTCAACGAGATCTACATTTCTAAAAAAAATAAAATTAAAAAATGTCAATAGGGGGGTAGAGGGGGGTGAAAAAGGGCGAATTGCAGATACATTTTAGACTGTTTATCACGGCCAGGTTTCTGAACCAATCTTAACGCAACTTTTGCCGATCGATAGAGAATGAACCAGGAATTCACATGGATCCTAAAAATGTGCATTTTCAAAAATCATAGGCGGATACAGATCATTGAGATTGGGGGTACACAAAAAGTATAGTAAAGAAGGTTTTTGTTGGTACTGTTTCTAAAAAGGGTGGCAATGGTCTTGTTATGTTATAATTTTCTTATGAGAGAACGACTAAAATTGTATTGGTCATGCATAGGCGGTGTCAGGGCACCTATGATGGGAGGTAAAAAATAACCCCCCTTTTTGGACGCCTGGATCCGCCTATTATAGCAAAAACGTGTCAAAAGAGGATGCACAATAACTTTGTATATGTTATCACATGATACCTTTCATTCACTGTTCGTAAAACTGGTGCAGCATCGTGATCTTCGCCCAAATGACTCGCTTCACGAATAGGACCCCCCAATTCCCAGTGCTCTGGAGCCGCCCCTGGTAAAGTTATGAACTTGAAATTTTCAGGGAATGTGCCCAATTTAGTTTTAGGAAAAGTCAGAAAATTTCAGCATCGTAGCTTCAGCGGTTTCGGAGATATTCCCGAAAAACCTGAGGGGTGGATAAAAACAACCCCCCCCCCCCCTGCCACTAATAGGGTTAAATGCCAGTTTTACTACGATTTAAATGCCAAGCAGATCAGCTGACCTCGTAGTACCATGTCGATAAGGTCGAATTCCCCATACGTCTATAGTGTAAAAGTGACCCTTATTGCAAATAGGCTGTCAGGGACATCTCCTCCTCTGTAAATTTGGAGGGATCATGTGTCGGCATTCCCATGTTCGTTTCGGAGTCCATCTGTTCCATTTGGAGCCCGTCAGTTGGCGTCAAGAGTTGGCGCAGCGAGCGCGCCGAAGACTGCGTCTGCGCACGAGGCTTCGCGATGGAGAAGAGGAGGCCGCAGTGTGCCGACGACTTTAAACTGTACGCCAACGCCAAGACCAAGGCAATCAGGGGGCGCTCAGATGATCGGGAGGTTTCAATTGATCAGGGACCCACCAGGTGACCAGGGAACCCTCAACCAGGGGTCCTTCCAGTAACCAGGGACTCCTTCAATAACCAGGGGCCCCTCAGTAAACGTGGGCCACTCAGGTTACTGCAAGAGACAGGAGTCCCTTATAACCAGGGACCGGCAAGGTCTCTCAGGTCCGTTTTTGACAAAGCTGTTATTGACGTCATATGCGAGCCCTTTGCCACCAGCAGAGGGCCCTTTCAAGCCTTTTTAGGGCCGTTTAACGTCTCTTGAGTTTCCTTTGAGGCTAAGGGCCTCTTCAGCAGCCGAGGGGTCTTTGAGGCCTTTTTGAGGGCCTCTTAACGTCAGCTGAGGACCGTTGGACGCCATCTGAGGACCGTTTGGTGCCTTCTGATGGCCAGTAGATGCCAACTGAGGGCTCTCTGACACCAGCTGAGGGCACGCTGACACCAACTGGGGGCCTCCTGACACCAGCTAAGGGCGCTTTTATATTTGACACGAGCTCAGGGCCCTTTGACGCCCTTTGAGACCTTCTGAGGGCCGTTTGACGCCAGCAGAGGACCCTTTGGGGTCATATGAGGGCCCTTTGCTGCCTTCTAAGCGGCCTTTGAGGCTTTTTAAGGGCCGCTTGACGCCACCTGAGGACCGTTGCGGTTGGACTCCAGTTACGAACCGTTTGAGGCCTTCTGATGGCCATTTTGCGCCAACTGAGGGCCCTCTGACACTAGCTGGGGCCCTCTGACACCAGATAAGGGCCCTTTAAGGCCTTCTGAAGTCCGGTTGACGCTAGCGGAGGGCCTTTTGAGGCCAAATGAGGGCCCTTTGAGACCTTATAAGGGCTCCTTGAGACTTTTGAGGGCCGCGTGACGGCATCTGAGGACCGTTGTACTCCAGCTGACGACCGTTTGAGGCCTTCAGATGGACTTTTGGCGCCAGCTGAGGAGGGCTCACTGACACCAGCTGGGGGCCCTCTTACACAAGCTAAGGACTCTTTAAGGCCTTCGGAGGGTCGTTTGACG